AGAAGTTAAAGGGCCAAGGGTTGACCATGATACATCTTCAAAAAAATTCTTAGGGAAGTCAACATACCTTAGATGCCTGAGCTCTAACTTCTATTTTTAATACTTCTCTACCCCTTATAACTACCTTAAAAATTATTATAAATAAGGGGCATGAACTGTTATGATGGAAATTGAAATTTGACTTGAGTTTGAAGTGAATTTATTTGCTTCTTAAGGGAGAGGCTGAGAGGGTTAAAATTGCCCCTTAGGGGGAGGCCATGAGGGTCAAATTCCACTCTATCTTATTTCACCTATCTTCCTTTCTACCCCTTCTTCGCCTTCCATGAAAATTTTCTTCTCCCTTTTGACATCCTGCTGGTTTGATCATGAATTGGAGAACTACAGCGCATCAAAGTGTGGAAGCATCAATTTTACACTCACAATACATGTTGATTCCATATTTTCAATTATATATGATCCAATTCTGAATTTACTTGCAATTTCCACTTGAGTGAACATAAGATAGTAAATTTCATATCTGGTGATCCTTAAAACCTTGGTTGAGATTATACCAAGAGTTATGAAATCAAGATATCCCTATTTTAGTGGTTGATAAGATATTATCTTCTAGATGTGGGATTAACTTCATATTAGGATAAATCTCCCCATTGATACTTATCTTAAGAGAGAATTCTCCTAGATCCTTGCTTGAATTCCTTTTGGATAGATCTTAATTTTAATTTTCGTCCTCTATCATGCATCATATAAAATCTATAACAAGGAGACATTGACTACGGAAAAAAAATTAATTTTCTAGATTCTTGAGTTATTGATTAACTCATTATGATTTTGATTTTTTTTAGACATTAATATGAAATTTTAAAACTGATTATAGTAGATTGATGATCTAATATTATCAACTTTGATGATCTGAACCATTTAGAATATCCCATTCTATTTTAGCTTCTCATCTGGGATATAACTATTATACTATTTAGGTATAAAGATAATAATAAAATCTATATGAGGTAATATGTTATAATCTTATATGTAAGTTTTAGTATTTGAATTTTTTACATCAAATGGCTTCACTTATACAAGCATATAAATAACCAATATATTTTAATGAAGAGTCAAATGAAATAAATTTGGGTGAAAATAATCAAGGTGTTCATCTCCTATTGATTTTACAGGATTACTACTGTAATATGTTTGGGAAGAGAAAACAATTTAGAAGTTTAACCTTTTTCACTATAATAATTTTTATCTCAAAAACTGTTGGACAAATATAAACATGTGAACCAATGGAAAGCTAATCTAAAGAGGAATCCACAACTAAAATTTTGCATCAAAAGTCAAAGTATTAGGAGAGTTACAACTTTTTAAAATATTTATAGTCATTTTTCTATGTTTTCAGAACTTGTGTGCAGCCTGTTAAGACTTGTTTTAAGTTGATAAGGGCCAAAAGAGGGCAGTCCAGCTTTCCCCATAAAAGAGGCTATATTCCCAATCTATAGATTAGTCTTTAGAAATGACCATTTAATGTTTTATTTTATATTAAATTGTATGTCTAAGGCTGATATCTTGAGAAATATTTTAATTAGCAGGAGAAGCTCAGAAAAATCAGAATAAGGAAGATTAGAATTTTTGTGGACTTTATTAGAATTTTCAGAGGACTATTGGGCTTGATAGTGGGCTGATTACATTAGGCTGATTATCAAGCCCAATACTTGGCCCATTACAATGGGGGGTATTTAAAAGGGAAGAGAAAGAGAGAGACAAAAGGGTGGGACCTTGAGAGCCAGGGCACGGGAGCATTGACTGGCCCCTCTCCATGTGATAGTAGAGACGGTGGTGAACACATGGTGGCACAGCAGCGACAATGGTGGTGATGGTGGCATAGTAGCATGGCAACACAATAGTAGTGATCCTGATTGTGAGCCCCCCTCCTATGTGACATTTAAAGGTGCTAAGCATGACAGCGACAGATGGTGGCTGTAGAGTTCATTGCGGTGGTGGTGACACCTTGACCTTTTTTTCCTCAAATCTCTCTTGTGTGACAGATGGAGAGGGGTGAGAACGTTATATATGAAGACTTTTTATTATTTTTTGTTTCAATTTTCTGAAATTTAATTTAGTACTTGTTCTTCCTCTTTAAGTCTCTAAGTGACACAAGGATCAAAAGGAGATTTTATTTTCGCTATTATCTTTTTCCTTACTGCTTTAAATTTCCTGCACTATCCCTCTTTAAATTTCTGAATGGCACAAGAATTTGAAGAGGGCTTATTTCCACATCTTTGCTATTTTATTGATTCCATCAGCAGAGGACAACTTTTCACCCTTTATGTGATTTTCATTTCAATTTTTTTTTTCTTCAAGTTTTTCCACAACAAGTGGCTGAAACTTGATGTAGAGGAAACAATTTTCTCTCTTTTTTTTAGTTTCACCCACTCTATCAATTTATATTGCTTCTTTTGCCTATTTTTGATTTAATAACCATTTGATAAAATAATTTGATATCAGAATTTGAGTCTCATCCTTGAAATTTGATGTGTTTAAATTCAACAACTAAAAGATGATCTCACACACATCACAAGTGCAGGTCTTCCACTCAAGCACATCACAAGTGCAACATAGGCATCCTAGCACATCACATATTAAAACAAAGAAAAAAACCACTTGGGATGAAGTTACCATAACCATCAAATGTTGTTTTCATGTGCTAAAAATTGAATAAAACGTTAAAAGGTGTTGGGCCAACATAAGACGTGATTGAGATTTGGAATGATGTCCACTACTCCCTTGAAATGATCAAACATTACCCCTAAATCTTGGAGAGGAAGAATGTTTGTTGAAGTAATAATCATCTAGAGATCATATATTTTCTCCCTACCCTAATTTGGGTGAAATGCCTCATTTATAAGGTAAGTTGAACTGCCCTATTTTGGCCCTTATCACATCAAATGGTCAGGTCAAAGTAGATCTTAACAGGTTGTACATGAATTCTGAAAGATATAAAAAAAATGACCATAAATATGGAAAAAAATCATAACTTTTTCAATACTTTTAATATTGATGCACAGTTTTCAGTTGTGGATTCCTCTTTGGATCAATTTTTTGCTTCCTTGTATGTTTATATCCAAAAAAGATGGTTTCTCAGATAGGAATTATTTTAGTAAGAAAGGTCAAATTTTAGGACCTTTTTGCTCTTGTGTGAACATATTAAATCATGAATATTTTGAAATTAACAAAAAATGAACACAGATCATTTTATTTAAAATTTTAATCCTAGTTTAAATAATTTTTTATCACTTACTCATATCTCATATAAATGAAGTCATTTGATACATAAACTTCAAATAATAAGACTTTCACATACGATTATAACAGATTTTCTCATGCATATTTTTTATTTCCTTTATACTAAAAAAGTCTAATAGCTATATCCCTAACGAGAATTTGAAATAATATGGGATATTTCCTGTGATGTAGATCTTAGTTATTTACTGAAATAATCTATACTCTTCAATCTTATCCAAAACATCAATCCCTAATTAAATTATATCTCATATTATCAATTTCATAATTTGAGATTAATATCTATAAAAGTATCAAAATCATAGTGACTTAATTTATAACTTAAAAATTTAGGCACTCCCTTAAAAAGAAGAAAATATAAAGCTGATGGAGTATCCTATTTCATAATTTTTGCTTGAAGCAATGAGGGCAACTGCTACTCCAAATGAAATAGTAAGAAGGGAGCTTGTATCTATTTAATTGCTATAATAGATGAGGAATAACTTTATGAATTTGAATTATAGCCTAGATAAAATAAAATATTTTCCTGACGAATTACTCATTATATACAAGGCGTGTAGATTTGAATTGTGAAATTTTATTGAATAATATGAATGAATGAATGATCAAGATGCTTTAATTAATCGTGTTGATGGAGAATTGAATGATTCGAAGATCATTGTGTTGATCAAGATGCTTTATTGTCATATATAGAAAACCAAGGTCTCCAATTATATTTGAGCTGAAAATTTACTGGCTCTCTATTTAGTGAAATGTTTGTGGCACTCTGTTACATTTTTACTGGTCTAGAGAGCAGATCGGAACTTAAACGAGTCTTCGAGCTATAGAATTCCCCCCATGAAGAGTAATTTTACAGAGAACTAGTTTTGATGAACTATAATCAAACGTAAAGGTAATATGCAGCATACATTTCACAAACGTTTCTGTGTGTTGGAAGCCAGAAATAAGCTTCCCACTAAAGAAAGACAACATCTATGCCTACCCAAATTGTTGGCCCCACTATCTTATCAGCGTGGGAATTCATTATGTGATCATTGTAGCTCAGATTGACAACCATGCTGGCCTATTTTTTTTCAATTTCAATACAATAATTATAGTATTCCACTTCATAACATCTGATTTGCAGCAGCAATGTTCAGTGGGCAGTCAGTTTATTGTTATTATCCAGAGAGCAGATGGAAAGGCGAGCTAGATGAGTGATCGCTGTAGTGCACGATCGATAGTCGATGGCTATCATGTTTTGAGCAAGCGCCTGGAATTATGTCCATGGATACGGTCGATGTGGAGCCTAGTTTCCTATTTGGTGTTTGAGCTTTTCCTGAGAAACATGAGATGTAATTTACAAAGAGCACACCACCGATGAGGAGGTTGGTGCATCCCTGATGCATGTTTGGAGGCGATTTCCAAGAGGTAAATGTGATGGAGTATTTTGGGACATTGGTTGATGGTAATTTCCCATGCAGAATGGCGTCTTAATTTTCGTAGAATTAGTATGAAAACCGACATTCATGTTTGGGTTTGACCTAGTGACGATGGATGGAATTTTTCCTCAAGAGTTTTTCCTGAAAATAAAGTAGAACGTCGCTGCGGGGTCTGATTTCCCTTCGCAGACGATGAGGACAACCAACAAGCTGTTCAAGGCTTATTGACATCCGTAGGCACTGTAGTGATATCCATAGATGCTCCTACGGTGGCCCGGCTCCTTAGATTGCGGTTCCGGTCTCCGCGCGCGATGGGCCATAGAGGACGACGTTGCGGTCGGGCTGGAGAATGACGACGTATTTGCCATTGCCAACGGCAGTATTGGTCGCCCATACGACTTTGCCACTGCCGTCGTATATGACAAAGTTGCCATCTCCTTGGAGGAGGGCACGGCAGTTGGTGCCCTTGCCACTGGTGCCGCTGGACCACACAAAACTGCCGGTATACCATCCTGAAGTGCCGGTGTCGGTAAGCACGAGGTTGCAGTCGGCCCTCATACCAAAAATGTAGTTGCCGTATTGCAGGTATTGACCGGTGGGGATAGCCTGGCCAGTGTACAGGACGTTCGTCGCCGCAAAGGAGGGCGTGATGAGACAGAGAAAGAGAGCTGAGAAAAGGAGGGCGAAGAGTTCTCTCGCTGCCATCGCCACAGGCTTGTGTCTACTACCGACCTGCTCTGCTACAGATTTTGTAACGTCGGTTGCAGGCTTAAGTTCATCACAGAACCCCTTCTATTTATAGAACTGATTGGATTGATGATAATATGTGAAGCCGTTTGTCCCGCGGGCATTTGCTTTGGGTCGTGACGACAATAGACGAATGGAAATTGGTGTTCGGGTCTCTGTCTGGCAGGATGGATCACTAGATCAAGGAGAATGTGTCATGGACGTTAAAGGAATCAGTCAACTGAAGGATGGAATAAATAAGATATTTAGTGAGCAGTTGACTAAAAGCAGGATCTATGGGCTGATGTTGTGGAACCGGGAGTGTGCCGTGGAGGGTATGCAATAGTCATAACTGAAGAGGTTGCGCAGCCGAGCCACTCAATCCGTGGTTCCACGCAATCCGAGACAATAGACAATAGACGAATGATGACAATCCGTCTGGCAGGATGGATCACTAGATCAAGGGGAATATGTCATGGAGGTTTAAGGAATCAGTCCATTGCAAGAAGTAATAAATAGGATATTTAGCAAGGTAGTTGACTAAAAGCATCATTAATAGTCCGCTGAGTGAAACCGGAAGAGTGCCGTGTAGGGTATGCAAGAATCATAACTCATGTGGTTCTGCAGCTGAGACTTAAAGTCCCTGGTTGATCTTAGGTTAAGGTAGTGATGTGGACAAAGTTTGTCAAAGGAGAAAGTCGTAGTGGTTTATTATTATATCATTTAAAGTTCACCGTTGCAGGGAATAAAACAAAATCTCAACGGCGTGAGTTATTTACCTTCGAAAGTGAACCCGGTAATAAACCTTTTAAGTAACACAAGAATTAATTTTTTTATAAGAAAACTTCAAATGCAAGGTGCCACCTTATTGCGGACGAAAAAAAAAGGTAATACCAATACTTTGGAAAGCTAATATAAAAGCGACATTCTACCCTCTATGAGACTGCTATTTCTGTGCACATGATTGTAGAAATCTGAGCTCCTTTACAAATGAAAAAGCGATTTCAGAACACTTTGTCTTTTCTTTGTTCAACTTGGGACAAATATAATTGACTGAAAATCAATGACAACTCTCTGTACTGAAGCTATCGAGCTTCGCTATCACACTTTGTCTTTTCTTTGTTTAACCTGGGACAAATATAATTGACTGAAAATCAATGACAACTCTCTGTACTGAAGCTATCGAGCTTCGCTATCACATTCGTGGTGGATTTGATACTCAAAATTAAGATACACACACCACATCATGCAATGTTTGGCATTTCAATATGAGTTATTAATAGTTCTGGCTTAAGCTTAAGTTGTATGACCGACTAGAATAATAACATTCTAGCCAAGGGTCATGAAACATGATTTAAAAATCCAGTTGTTGAACTAGTGACCCTGTATCTTACAACAAGGTAGTGATGTTAACTCAATTGATGGAGAGGCGAAAAGGATGCCTCTCTCTTATCAAATGGTGAAGAAACTCCCATTTTGTAGAATTATATGAAATAACTCATTATTGAGAGGTGATCTTCCTCACAGGTCGAACATAGATTCATAAAACTAAAGTAACGTTCTGCATTCCTATTTGTAAATCTTAAAAACTATATACTGTGAGAGAGGTAACTGTTAGACATTACTCCCTTAATCATGATAAAACAAAATATTTACTTTACAGGATACTAGCAATTGGAAGCAACAGCTATCCTTGTTGCAAAGAAACGACGGCAGATTTCAACCTGAGATTGACACATACGTGTGACACACTTTAGTACCACGTCTGAAATCAATTTTAATATATTTATTTAATATTTAATGGCAAAAATAAGAAGCTGAAACCGTCAAGCGTCCTTCTCTACCTTAAATTGAATACAAAGCTTCGAATGGAAAACTTTGCAGTACAGTTATTGTTTAAGAGATTTTTTTCTTCGTTTTTTGTTCAGACTTGTATGATTAGCTTGAATCTAGAACCTAGCTTCAAACTAGAGCCTATTATCGATTTATAGGTGGGGTGATGAAGTAAATTAAGTTTTTGTACCTTTGGACAAGATAATGATATGAAAGAATCAATAAAAAAACAAAAATTATCACTAAGAGTTAGTCAATGATAAAAATAGTCTTACCGGTGAAATTCTATGAAATCGGAAGAGGGTAAAGTATATAGGCCTAACTTTGTCCGAAGAATGAACGCTCATAGAATTGTGACGGAAAATTAGAGAGGTAACCCAAGAGGTAATTCCATTACATTAGAAATGCTAGCAGACCGAGTATGAAGGAAGGTTGCATTCGGAAGTTTTATAATACTCGTTTCGAATCAATTACCAGGGATTTCAACTCCTTGGAATACATTCGCATGAGACATCTGAGTCGCAACGCACATGCCATTCTGATGGTTGTGCCTCTAAAACAAACGAAAGCCACACTGTCCCACTAAAACCATGGGCATCAAGTTGTTTTGCTGTGAAGCGTGTTGTAGAAGATATAGATAACCCAGTTATCGTTGCGTTGTTCACGACCGACCTCTCTTCATTCTCTCATGTCTCGCCGGGCACTCGTGAATTTCAGGCGACTACTATGGTAGTCATGTGGCCGGGAGGAGATGGACGGGTAGAGGAGAAAAAAGTATGAAAAGCGAACAAAAGTTAAGAAAGAGGGGGAACCATGGCTCAGACAATATTACTAACCTGCGCTTCATAAAAGTCAGATGAGAGAATAATACGGCCTATCCATGGCTGATTACTACAGTTGAAATTGATGAGAATAACTAGTGAGTCCACTAGCCTAAGGCAAGGGAGGATATGGGCCCAAAGTCTTTAGATAGCGCTATTTTCATGGATGTGAAGGACTCTAGTTGAATTGATGAAGCTTAAAGAAAGGTAATCAGCGTGATTATTACAGCCCATCACCATGGAAAACGATTCTTCCTTGAAGCTGAATCAATGAATCCCAACTAATCACAATGGAATGTTTTTGAGCAATTAATCTTGGTATTACCGTGCTATGTATTTTTTCTTATTGATATTCTCGCAAGACTTTTATTCACGAAATGACCTTATTTCTTCACACATGGTCTATACCGTTGATAATCCTAGTGGTCATTTCCAATGTGTTCCACTTGTATAAACCTTGAAAGTTATGCAGTCAATAATTCGAGATTATTCCCCATTGTAATACTTCTGGTAGGATACCTGGATGATATACTATGCTGACTTTCCCAACACCTCAAAAGAGAGTAAGATACAGTCACGATTTGTCTTCTTGATGAAGCAAAAAGTAAGCATGAAGGGACACAGGTTCTGATATTTCGAATGCTGTGTTCCCTGGCTTGACATTGTAAATTTGTCTTTTGAAATAATGATTTTTGAATTACCAGAAAGCATAAGGCAGTTGCAAACTTTAACCTTGTTAAATCTGACTTGTAACGGGACACTGTCAGCCAGTCGGGAGAAACAATCATGAGGCATTTTGATGGGAAGCCAAAGAAAATAGGAACGGTCCCCGTCGAGAAATTAGGCATGTATCGATAGAAACATGAAGAAGTTCAGGCGGTGTTAGGTCTAGGATCCA